CCCGTTTCGGCGTACACAAGCTTTCAAATCTATCATTTTCTAGCGTGGTTAGTTCTAGCTACCGCTAAAGCATATACGCAAGTAATGTGGTTTTTCTTTAAAATTTATTTGGCCATTTCTATCCGTTTTTGCGGACAAGCAAACCAGAGGCAAGTACCACATATTTTACTTTGTGAATCCATGTTTGAAAGGATATTGCTTCGATTAGCATCGAACGACTATTATAAATTATTATTATTGTTAGTATAAACAATAATAAATATACCGCGGTTCTATCAATCATTAATGGTTTGCACGAAAAGAACTACAAGTATTTCTATTTCGTTTATACGTGAAAATTTCCACTCGGAAATATCGATGCTCGGCAATGAATTCTTTGTTGACTCTTTTTGCTGTTAAACGAAAACATAACACACACATCAGACCTGAACTACTCAGAAATTGCAAGTATGGGCGTGTTCGTAACGTGTTGGAATAGGACCGGGTTGTCCCGAGTTCAATTCTTGTGAGGTAACTTCGTAAATTATTTTCAAACTCTTGTTGAGTAAAATGTTAACACATAGATTCGTTCTGAACATATAAGGAATGGTGTGTTTGGGTGCTAGCGTAGCGTGCTGGGCTGGTACTCAATAATCCCGGGTTCAAATCTTGTCAATGACTACGGTAAGATATTTTCGAGATGTTGTTAGGCAAAATATAAACACAACTTGACCATGACCGATGACCATGACTAATCGAGTGATGTAAACATTTTGAAAATGGCTCAAGGACATGGCCTTGAGCTCAAGGCTATGGCCTTGGCCTAGTAATGTAGAAATTTTAAAATTGTAAAATGTAATGGCCTTGAGCCCAAGGCCATGGCCTTGAACTCAAGGCCACGGAAAATTGTAAAATTGTAAAATGTAATGGCCTTGAGCTCAAGGCCATGGCCTTGAACTCAAGGCCACGGAATATTTTAGAAATGGGAAAAGTGGTCAAGGTCAGGGTCAAATGGCTTCTACTACAACTACAACAACAACAACAACATCTCTCCTGCATTCTACTCTGCTCTACTGCACTGTACTACACTACTATACTGCACTGTACTACACTACTATACTGTTCTACTTCTCTACTGAACTGTACTCTACTATACTGCTCTACTGAACTGTACTCTACTATACTGCTCTACTGAACTGTACTCTACTATACTGCTCTACTGCACTGTACTATCCTCTACTATACTGCTCTACTGCTCTAATATTCTGTACTATCCTCTACTATACTGCTCTACTGCTCTAA